GCAGCTGAATCCTTATGTCCTTTAGGAAGCAACCTTTTGTAACTCTGAATGTACAAAAATACAACCAAATCAAACACATTAACACCAACAGAGCCGACCTCGGAGGGCTTAGCGGTAACGAGAGGGTCCGAATCGGAGTGAAGAACGCAAGCAATGGTTTCGAGGACGAGGCGAGCCTGTTCGGGCGAGATCTGAAGAGACTCAGCAATGGATTCCGTGTTAACGCGGTGGTGCGTAGTACTTGACTCGGAGGACGAAAGGGAGGATAATAGCTTGTCCTTAATTGGACCTAGGGTTTGTGCTCCGTCGGTGAAGATTAGCTTCGGGATCGGTAATAGGCCGTGTTCAAATGGCTCCCTGCGTGGGTGAATGTATATTGGGGCGGTGGATGGTGTCGTCGCCGGTGACGGTGTTTCATCGGATTCCGCCATTAGTGTTATTAGTGGAGAGGAAAAAGGTGAGAAAAAGCTCTGGAAGAGTGGAAATGGCAGTGATCAGTGCCAATTTATTTTATTTTATCAATCTCTTACTCGAAAAAACAAAAAGAAAAAATGGCAGTGATCAAAATCTCAGCGAGAGAAAAGCAAGGCTGAAAGCCCGCATAGTGTTGATTTGTAAAAACTTAAAGTTTGTTTGGATCGTTGTTAGGTATGTTTGATAATGTATGTTTAATGGATAGAATGTTTGGATGAATTGTATCGTTTTACCTATTTTATGATACCAGTAATATGATGAATAAACTTGTAATATTATAAAGAAATATTATGATACAGTATATAAAAAGGTAGGGTAAATAATAAAATAAAATTATTTAATAATAATGAAGGGTGAGATTGAGAGAAAAACATAAGGAAACGACGCGACCACACCAAATCGGTCGTACATAAAGTGGCACATTTCATCGTTACGTAACGACGGATTTAACGATACGATACAATAAAATTTAAGTAACAATCAAAACAAACATTGTATTTAAAGTAACAATACGATACAATATAATAGGTAACAACCATCCAAACAAGCTATTAACCTAATAATTAATCATTAACGAAACAAGAATGCATATTACTCAATCAGGGTTAAATGTTAGAAGATGTAAATTCAAAATATATATTTTACATTTATTAACTTAGTGTAAACTCTCGGATAAGTTTTTGTAATACCCCGGAAATTTTTTCCCTATGTATTACATCTTCGTTCAGGCTCTAAGTTGGACACACGGGTATTGAAAAAGTTGTAAAGGTATATCTGTAATGACCCGGCTGGTCGTTTTGAGTATTTTAGCCCCGTTTTCCCTGTTTGATGCCTTACATATATGTATTTATGGTTATGTGACTTGTCGGGGTGGTTGGTTTTGTTTCGGGGAAGTTTTGGAGTGAATTGGGACACATAGTTCCAAGGTTGGATGCTTAAGTTATAAGAGTTGACCAGAGTCTGAGTTTTGTGTTGACGACCCCAGGATAGTATTTTGATGGTTTCAGTAGCTTCGTATGGTGATTTTGGACTTAGGCGTATGTCCGGATTCGGAGATCATTCTGGCTTGAATTGGCGAAAGTCGGAAGGTTGAAGGTTTGAAAAGTTGATAGGTTTGATCGAGTATTGACTTTGTTAGATCGGGTTCGGATTGTGGTTCCGGGAGTTGGGATAGGTCCGTTGTGTCATTTGGGACTTGTATGCAAAATTTAGGGTCATTCCATGTTGGTTGATATGGTTCAACACGAGTTTTGGAAGTGAAAAATTCATTAGTTCCTTAGGCTTGAATTGTGGTGTGATTCTTAGTTTTGATGTTGTTTTGGGTGATTTGAGATCTCGAGTAGGTTCGTGTTATGTTTTGGGATTGGTTGGTGTGAATGGATGGGGTCCCTGGGGCCTCATGTGTGTTTTAGATTGATTTTGGATCATTTTTGGACTATGTTGCATTCTTGAGGATTTCTGGGCTTCTGGTATTTTCGCAGTTGTGGGGGGTTGGCTGTAGATGCGACCATTTTTGCGCAGGTGCGCAATTTGAGCTGGAAGTGTAGGGACCGCATTTGCGGCAGCTGAGACGCAGAAGCGAAGCTGCAGGTGCGGCTAGGAGTATTTAAAAGCGAAAGCGTAGGTGCGTTTGATGAGCTGCAGAAGCGATACGTCGGGTGCTTAGAGGGGATCGTAGATGCGGTCCTTTTACCGCAGAAACGGCACTGTAGAAGCGGTTAAGTGACCGTAGATGCAGATTAACTGGGCAGAATGCTTATATCGAAGGGTTTGGCCTTTTTCTCATTTTTGGAGTTGTGGAGCTCGGTTGGAGGCTATTTTTGAAGAGCTTTTCATCACAACTGAAAGGGTAAGTAATCCTTACTTGATTTTGGTGTTAGATATTGATTACCCATAGTTTTTTACACCTAATTTGTATGAATTTAAGGTAGAATTTGGGTGTTTTTGGACTATGATTTTGAGGAGTGAGATTTGATGATTTGATGGTCGGTTTTAGATCGGAATTGGATGAAACACATATATTTGGACTCGTATCAGAGTGAGTGTTCGAAAATTGTGATCTTGGTCGGGTTCCGGGGTGCGGGCTCGGGGTTGACTTTTTAGTTGACTTTGCATACTAGATTCAAGATCTTAACTTTATCATTTAGAATTGTCTCCTATGGCTTTTAGTGATGATATTAAGTTATTTTGGCTTGATTCGAGTCGTCCAGAGGTTGAATCATGCGGGAAGGGCTTCTTAGAGTACTTATTTGACTTGCTTGAGGTAAGTATCTTACTTAAACTTGATTGAGAAACTAGTTGCCTAAATTATTTGTGATAGCTACGTGCTATGAGTGGCGCACATGTGTGGGGTTGAACCCATATGCGTGCACCGGGGTATATATTCATGCTCGAGGTAGTGCTTAGGCTAAGATATGCCTTGAGTTGATTGACAAGCTTCATGTTGTAATGTTTCCCCTATCTGTACCCCTTTTGTGAGCTACTTGTACCATATTTGAGGTTACTCTCCTGATTGAACCTGATAATTGCTACTCCGTGATGTATTTGCTTGATTGAGCTATGATAGCACACTTTGCACCTGTATATACCTTAGCATATCATTTATACCAGTCCAGGGGTATAAAAATTGATGTTCATTGATCATGTATTCTTGTATATCTGCTTTTCGTGTGATATGGATTTGGACTGGTAGCATGTGACCACGTCGGGCGAATTGTGATATTGAGCATGTCACCACGCCGGACGGATTGTGATATTGAGCCTGTGACCACATCGAACGGATTATGATATTGGCACGTGAGTTGTCCGTGCGGATTCGAGATATTGATATTATTGGCATGTAGGTTGTCCGTGCATCATGTGAGTTGTCCGTGTGATTGATATTATTAGCACACGAGTTGTCAGTGCAACACGTGAGTTGTCCTTACAACATGTGGATATGGAACCATCCCCTAGGATCACCCTTTCATGTTCCTTCTTGATGGTGTACACGCAATTTGAGGAAAACTGGTCAGTGGTTTGGTACGATTATGAAAATTTTGAGAAAAAGCTGGCCAGTGTTTGATTTGGTTATTGTATTTCATCTTTACTTGCAATTTCTTGGTTGTTTACCTGATTTATTTGCATATCTTCTTTATATGTTGGATAGTCGACTGAGCAGAGTACGTTAAGTAATTATGTGCACCAAGGTTGTTCTTTCTGTGATTTATTACTTGATCATATTATTGTTCTGTACTTGTTGGATTTATGAATTGTACAGGTTATAGCGAGTATTATTTATAATTCTTGCTTCTATTAACAATCGATATGCAACACCCCTGAATCTGCTGTATAATCTGAGCTAAACGTCTGTCTCTCTCTCTCTCTCTCTCTATGTTCTAACGTCTAACGTATCTTTGACCCAACTCCTACCACCGCCCCACCACCGCCAGTCGCCGGCGTACAACCGGCAGCCACTGGATCCAGGTAAGCCCCCCACCCCCTATTTTCTTTTCCTCTCTCTTCGCCTCTTTCTTCCCCTGCTTTCTTCTTCTGCTTCTTTTCCCCCTCCTCTCTCCTTTGATTTCTCCCAATCTGACTCCATCTCCGCCTCTCTAGCTTTCTAGGTTTTCTGTTTCTGCTTCTTCTTCCTTCCCCTCTGTTCTCTTTATCTTTCTCGTTTCTTCTTCTTCTTCTTTATTCCTCTGTTCTCTTTATCTTGCCCTTTTCCTCTTCTTCTTTCTTTCTTCCCGTCACTGCCCTAGCCTAGCGGCGGCGGCAGCTTTGGCGGCACCTTCTTTACTTTCTGCACCTCCTCTTTGGTGCTGCTGGTCGGATTCCTAGACCTAGCAGTGGTAGCAGGGATTTTGCACGGCGACGATCTTCCGGCAGCCCTTGGGCGATACCTCTCTCGGCACCCGTTGCTGCTGTGGAAAACACCTCTCTCGGCACCCGTTGGGACTCCAGGTTCTATCGTTCTTGCTTAGTATATGCTATTTGTTATCATTCTGTTGGCTGCCATTTATCCTTGATTATTGGTTTTTACTTCGGCTTGCTTGCGTTTATCTGCCATTAGTTGTATCACTTTTGTTGCATTCCTATCTTTTGCGTGACCTAGTTACATTACATTTTAGCTTGTACCTAGGCACTGCTTGTTTTACGCCTCGCCTGCTCGTCTGCATTTGTAGTAGTCTAGGCTTAGTCTATATCCCTGTGTTTTTGCTGGTGTAGTGGATATTCTGAGTAATGGTAGTGTCATGTGGGTCAGGGGGCAGGTCAAGGGGTAAGGTACAAGGGTGGCAAGGGGGGTAAGGATTACATAAGGTTGAGAATTGGATCCTGGAACATAGGGACACTGACGGGTAAGTCGATAGAGTTGGGGAAGATTCTAGAAGAGGAAGATTATTATAGCATGTGTCCAGGAGACTAGATGGGGGGTACGAAAGCTCGGGATGTTAATGGGTATAAGCTCTGGTATTCGAGGGGTGTTGGAGGCAAGAACGGGGTAGGGATTTTAGTTGATAGGGACCTCAGGGAGATAGTGGTGGATGTCAGGAGGGAAGACGGCTAGGGGTTATGACGAGGTACATGGCGGGTTCGGTTTCGGGGTTAGGAACGAGGGTGGTACTTCGTTGTTGGAGTTTGCTAAAGCTTTTGACTTGGTGTTAGCTAACACGGGTTTTCAGAAGAGGGAGGATCACCTGGTCACTTTTCGGAGTAGGGTTGCCAAGACTCAGATTGATTATCTTCTCCTCAGGAGAGGTGATAAGGGCCTGTGTACGGATTGCAAGGTTATCCCGAGTGAGTGTCTGTCGATGCAGCATAGACTCCTAGTAATGGATTTGGAGGTCAAGGGAGTACGGAAGAAGAGAGCGGTGTACGAACAACCCAGGATCAAGTGGGAGCCTTGACTAAGGGAAAGGCTTAGGAGTTGGGGGAGAAGCTATTGGGTATGGGGGCCTGGAGGAGCAGTGGGGACGCGAGTAGTATGTGGACCATGACAACAAACTGCATTAGGGAAGCTGCTAGGGAGGTCATAGGGGTCTCGTAGGGTTACTCGGGTGGCCGCAAAGGGGACTGGTGGTGGAATGAGGAGGTCCAAGAAAAAGTGGAAGCTAAGAAAGCGGCGTATCTGAAGCTAGTGGGGAGCACGAACGAGGAAGAGCGAAGGTCGTATAGGGAGTGCTATAAGAAGGCAAGGAGAGAGGCGAAGCTCGCGGTTACGGCGGCCAAGACTGCATCTTTTGAGAGATTGTATGAGGATCTTGGAGGCAAAAGAGGGGATAGGAAGCTGTACAAGTTAGCCAAAATTAGGGAGAGGAAGGCTCGGGACCTGGATCGAGTGAGGTGCATCAAAGACGAAGACGGTAAGGTATTGGTGGAAGAGGCGTGTATCAGGCATAGATGGCGGGAGTACTTCCATAGACTCTTGAACGAGGAAGGGGATAGGAACATCATGCTGGGTGAGTTGGAAAACTCAGAGAGTCGGAGGGATTTTGGGTTTTGTAGGCGTATTAGGTGTGAGGAGGTTGTTGTGGCCATACGGAAGATGAGCAGGGGTAAGGCGACTGGGCCTGACGAGATCCCGATGGAATTTTTGAAAGAAGCGGGTAGGGTAGGCTTGGAGTGACTTACTAACTTGTTTAACGTCATTTTCAAGACAAAGAAGATGCTCGAAGATTGGATGTAGAGTTTGATGATTCCGTTGTACAAAAACAAAGGGGATATCCAGAACTGCAACAACTATAGGGGTATCAAGCTGCTGAGTCACACCATGAAGGTCTGGGAGAGGGTGGTGGAGAAGAGAGTGAGGACATGCGTATCTATATCTGAGAACCAGTTTGGGTTTATGCCGGGACGGTCAACCACAGAAGCCATTCACCTGGTGAGACGATTGGTGGAGCAATATAGGGAGAGGAAAAAGGACTTGCACATGGTGTTCATTGACCTTGAGAAGGCTTATGACAAAGTCCCGAGGGAGGTGCTATGGAGGTGTTTGGAGGTTAGCGGAGTCCCGTAGCGTATATTAGGGTGATTAAGGACATGTACGAAGGCGCTAAGACTCGGGTGAGGACTGCGGGAGGTGACTCGGAACTTTTCCCAATGGAGATGGGGTTACATCAGGGATGATCCCTTAGCCCATTTTTGTTTGCCCTAGCGTTGGATGTCCTGACTCGTCACATACAAGGGAGGGTGCCATGGTGCATGCTATTTGCTGATGACATAGTATTGTTTGACGAGACGTGATGGTAGGGATTTAAAATAGACTAGCTAGATTCGAATATAGACTAGCTATTTTCATGAGTAGCTAACTTTTCTAATCTAAGGTTTTGGTGAAACCCGTTGGGGATGAATTGGTTGTTATAAGTAATATAGATTTAAATTAGTTTAATCTCTATTTGTTCAACTTTTTTTTTGGTTGTGGTTAATTGAAAGGATCCTTAATTAGCCGTTCCTATTTATTATGTATCTGCTTGAGAGAGAGTGCATATTTAGGTAGTTGTTTGAACAACATCACTCCCGGAGTATAGGCGAGAGTCATAACCGAGGGTTTAGAGGCTGGATTAGAGATAACGATACCTCGGGTGCGATCTAAGTGAACTGTAATACAAATCTAGCTAGACATGCGAATATAGACACAACCTTTTTAGACAATTCTCCTAACTCATCACACCAAGAGTATTTAAAATAGACTAAGCACAAAAGCGTAACATCTTCACCTCAAGATTTGACTCACAAGTACCACACGTTATTCACAACTCACCCACTTACTCTAATATAGAGGTCACTGACATTACCTTTCCTTCATGAATCAAGTGCCCTCACACAACAAAAGAGAGTAGTTCCTCACAATAAAATTTAAGAACACTTAGGAACTCAAGATAGAAATAATTCACTCACTCTCAGAAATAACATTCATATGCCACAAAAGATGCACCATAAGCTTGCCCGTAGTGTACTACTCCACTAATCGAGCTCATTCAATCTAGGATCAATTAGGACTTTATTTGATTGTAATGTAGGCTACGAGACGGGTAGGATATATTTAGATATAAGAGTGACTACACCTCCCTAAGCACTTTAATACATACATTTTAACATTTAAACCCCATACTTATGTCAAACCAAAATTCCACCTTCACATCAATGTAAATTACCCCATTCTTCTTTAAGCACACTTACGTCAAGAGACACCACTTATCAAGGAATTTTTTTTTTCACAACAATCCAACTATATTTTTTTTCAGTTCACGTGGCTCTTCCTTTTTCAAAACAGTGCACCTTTCTCCTTATTCAATTAGTTCCACTCAAAAGCCAAACAACCACCCCACACTTTAACTTTTACAAAGTTCATAACAATTCAAGTGCTCATGAGAGGTGAAAAGGTTCAAATAGATGGTTAATTCAAACAAATGGGTAAGGCTTGTAATGTGGTTGCCAAAGAAAAAGGATTATAGGCTCAAAGAGGTTAACTACGATACATAACAATTAGGTGGGTAAAATATACATATCTGGCTCAACAAGAAAACGCCTATATCACTTCCAAGACTGAACAACACTACTATTTCACTTTGCAAACACATGGGGCAAGTTCTAGGCATCAAATGCAATGCACAGAATAACAATGCACAGAATAACACCAAACCTCACACACACATGGCACATAACTCACTCAGGATTGGATTCATCAAGACACTCTAGTCAAAGCAGTTAAGCAAATTTAAAATCATACAATTTAAGGTACTTATACAAGAGTCAAAAACTGAGCCTAAGCGTCACAACCAAAGTACTCACTATTCTCAAGGCATAACAAAGTCAAGAGATATTGCTTCAATTCAAAACACCACACAATGGCTCCTATTCCTAAAAAAAACTAACTACACCCGGTTCAAATAAAACCCTTGAAAAAGAACCGCGGCACAAAGAAAAACCAAGGGGGAATTATTACACTACCTATAAAGAAAATCTTTTTGTTTTTTCTTTAGACTTAAATGCCTCAAGAAAATTGTCTAATAGATCCATCGTCGGGAAAAGTCCAGTCTTTTAAAAAAAAATACTATTTAATTAAACTAATACAGCTAAAGTAGCATGAAAAGTCACCCAGACAATCTCATCACCCCACACTTAAAATTGTGCATTGTCCCCAATGCACACCATAACTAATAGAAGGGTAAAAGAGACTCCCTGGTAGGCCAAAGGCCGAAGCACTAGCAGTTCATGGGGTACTCAGACTTCTCCCAGGCTTGGTCCTTCGTGCGGGTACCTCACACTTAGTTCCAACCATTTGATTTGTTTTTGCATCCTTACAATACCTTTGCTTTTCATGCTCCTAAAAAAAATAAAAAAATTGACACTACAAAAATAATACAATTAAAAAATTAAAAAAATAAATAAAAGAAAGCAATAAAGCTGGGTTGCCTCCCAACAAGCGCTTGATTTAACGTTGCGGCACGACGCGAATCACTTTTTGCCTCCACCTCTAGCTTATGAATTGAACCCCAAGTTTTGCTTCAAGCTTATGATTATGATCTTGGGGCGGTACAAATTCTTGCGAGCCAAAAATTAGATAAAATCTTATGCACTTGTTGGCTTTCGACCGAGGAGTGTCACCTTGCCTAGACGGCCTTGAGAAATCCAAAATATAAGGCTCATCTACCTCTTCCTTGGACTCCTTTTTATGCTCATAAGGGTGAATTTCCATTTCACCGTCTGAACATATGTAGAGAAGTGTTTGGAATGAGGCCCAACGCGCTCAAATACATGAACTTCAAGATTTTTAACCTCCTCAACACCAATCACACTAGAGTCAACTAAATTTGTATCTTCAACGTCCTTGGTTGACTCTAGTATTACTTTTTCAACATTGACATCCTCAAATTCTAGTTGGCTAGGTTGTTGATTCTACTCTGACCTCCCCAATTAACACCTCAAATTCATGCTCTTCTTGGCTACTATCCTCAATATTGACTTGTTGAGCATTAAAAGCTCCAACCACTTGACTCAATTGAGCCTCCAACTTGCGAATAGTTGCCTCTTGCCTTTCTATGTGCAATTATTTCTCATTGTTTTCTTCCAGAAGGCACTTTAGCATATCCTTGATCTCCTTCAGGTCCGCATTCCCAGGTTCTTTGTTCCTATTAACTTCACAAGAAAAGGTAGAACCATTATAGTAAGGGGTTGGGGGAAAATAAGAAATATAAGCACAACCATGAAGGTGACCATTTTTACCACCACACATATCACACACATTCCACAAATAAGATTGAGTTGGTGCACATAACTCGCTCTTAGGAACGTTTTGAATTTTTTGCCACGGGTGGTTTCCTTCACAATATGTATAGAGATCAATAGTAGAATTATCTACACCTAAATTCCTATAATTCCAAGATGCCATGTTTCTCAAATCAACAGTTATAAAAAAAATACAAAAAAATAAAACAAACTAAAAGTTCAAACTTGAACCCTAGCAATATATATAGCTACAACTACACCGTTAGTTCCCCGGCAACGGCGCCAAAATTTGATCGCGCCCAACTCTAGTCCTAAAAAGGATAAGCGGTCGCTGCAAATATAATCCGGTCTAAAAGTCCGGAGTCGAATCCCACAGAGAACTAAGGCTTAGCTGTATCTGTTTAATATCACCAAGAAGACAAGATTGAAAATAAATAAACAGCTGAAAACTAACTATGCTTGAATTGTAAACAATTAGAATAAAGGTCTAAGGTAATGGTTTCCCCCGTTGTTGATTTCCTTGGTTGTATGTTTCTTATAGCGTTGACTTAGTTGCCTCTATCAATCATGAACTCTCCAGCTATCATAAATCTCTCTCAAGCAATTATGATAATTTACTAGACGCACTCTCTCAAGCTACGCTAGCTAGATTCGCATTACAGTTCACTTAGATCGCACCCGAGGTATCGTTATCTCTAATCCAACCTCTAAACCCTCGGTTATGACTCTCGCCTATACTCCGGGAGTGATGTTGTTCAAACAACTACCTAAATATGCACTCTCTCTCAAGCAGATACATAATAAATAGGAACGGCTAATTAAGGATCCTTTCAATTAACCACAATCAAAACATAGTTGAACAAATAGAGATTAAACTAATTCAAGTCTATATTACTTATAAAAACCAATTCATCCCCAACGGGTTTCACCAAAATCTTAGATTAGAAAAGTTAGCTACTCATGAAAATAACAAAAATCACAAAAGAATTCATATTCAAAGGTAAAAGAACAAAGAAGAAGATTAAAGATTGATGCCCAATGATCCTCCTTGCCTCTTGCCCTTCCTTCTGATGTTTTTCACTTCCAAAAGTCCTTCTCTTTCGCTCTTGGCCGGCCTCCCTTGTTTAATATAGGGTTTAGGGCTTAAAATCCCGTATTTTGCACTTTAGTACCTGAAATTTACGCGTCCTGCCGCGGTCCCATCGCGGTTACGCCAGGACCACGGCCAGAATGGTCCTCTGAATCTTTGGTAATGTTCTGCCGCGGTGCTACCGCGATCCTACCGTAACCGCGTTTTTTCACCCTGTTCCGTTTGGAATTTGGAAAAACGTAAAACATGAAAGTTGTAGTCCTTTGAGTTAGCTTTCCAACCATATATTGTGGGGCCCAAATGGAGTTCTGAGAAAAAAGTTATATCTATTTTACTAGACAGTGCGCAACATACCTCCTCGAGTCTTCGTTCGTACTTAATTATCAAATTTGACCCCCGAATACGATCCCGGCTTAATTCCTTGGGCTTTTACTCAGACTTCAAAGCTCCAAATCACTTGAATTCATTCTATAACATCTATATAGCTCGAAATTACTCCTACAAGGCATAAAACACACCGTTAGTGCAAAACACTAGCGATTAAAGCACAAACTCAATTAAAGTGCATTAAATTAGAGTGTAATAAGCGACTAAAAATACGTAATTATAGCCTATCATCAAGACGCGAGGGGGTGTTAACATTAGGTTGGAAGTTTGGAGACAGGCGTTGGAATCCAAAGGTTTCAAGTTGAGTAGGTCGAAAACTGAATACTTGGAGTGCAAGTTCAGTGAGGAGAGGCATGAAGAAGAAGTAGAAGTAAAGATTGATACTCAAGTCATTCCCACAAGAGAGAGTTTCAAGTATCTTGGGTCTATAATCCAAGGCAACGGGGAAATTGACGAGGATGTTACTCACCGGATTGGAGCGGGTTGGATGAGAGGGAGGCTAGCTTCGGGGATTTTATGTGATAAGAATGTACCGCCTAGACTTAAGGGCAAGTTCTACAAGGTGGTGGTTAGACCAGCTATGCTGTATGGAGCTGAGTGTTGGCCCATCAAGAAGTCCCATGTCCAGAAGATGAGCGTAGCAGAAATGAGGATGTTGAGATGGATGTGTGGTCATACCAGAAAAGACAAGATCAGGAATGAAGTTAATAGGGACAAGGTGGGAGTGGCATCTGTGGAAGCCAAGTTACGGGAAGCGAGGCTGCAGTGATTTGGGCATGTGAAGAGGAGAGATATAGATGCCCCGGTCAGGAGGTGTGAGAGGTTGACCATAGCGGGCTTGAGGAACGGCAGGGGTAGGCCTAAGAAGTATTGGGGAGAGGTGATTAGGCAGGACTTGTCGGCGCTTTACCTAACCGAGGACATGACTAGCGATAGGAAGGTGTGGAGGTCGAGGATTAAGGTGGTGGGTTGACAGGTAGTTGCGAGTTTTTCATAGGTTCACCAGTAGTACTAGTAATATTCTTGTTGTGGGTTGTTACTTCCGTCTAGTTTGTTATTGTATCTGGTATTTTGCAACCATGTCCTTTGTTTTTGTATATTGCTACTAGGATTGTTGCTCTCTGATTGCTACTGTTTGATGTTACTTTTTCTTCCCTTTTACTGGTTATTGTTGATCTCTGATGGTTACTATTTGAGGCTAGTTTTTCCCCTCAATACTTATCGCCTTTCTCCCCCCTTCCCCCTCTTTCCTCCTCTTCTTCTCCCCTATTCTTCTTTTCCACCTTTTCTTGAGCCGAGGGTCTTTCGGAAACAATCTCTCTACCTCTTCAGGTAGGGGGAAGGTCTGCGTACTCACTACCCTCCCAAAACCCCACCCGTGGGATTATACTGGGTATGTTGTTGTTGTTGTCTTGCTTCTATTACCTCTCCGAGGTTAGTTATGATACTTGCCGAGTACATGGAATCCTTTGCACTCATACTATACTCTGCACTTAATTATGTAGATCTAGGTGTTGGGCCCAGTCACCAGTAGCCGAGGCTTGTTGCTGAGTTATCGTTGGAGAGACGAGGTAGAGCTGCATCTTGGCCGCAGTCTTGACATCTCTTTTCTTTTGTACTATTTTCTTTCATTTAGATGCATGATTGTTTGTATTTTAGACTGGTATTTTTGTTTTAGAGCTCACGACTCTGTATTTACTAGTTCTATGGAATTTGTTATATATCGACGCAGTTATTTATGTTAATTGGCCTCAGACTTGTATTATCTCTGTTAATTCAATATTTGTATTTCGCTTTTGTTATGTTTGTCTGCATAGCAAGGGAGGCCATCACGAACAGTTGATGGTTTTGGGTTCGTGATAGTATAATACCTAGATCTTATGTTCGAAAGGTCGTACAGATATTTAGAAGAGGGGAGAAGTAGTTTGGAATAAGTTGGAAATATTTAAGAAAAGAAAGCGAACGTAATCACACATGACCAAAAATTAAACAATCATATCTTCTAATGTATAATGAAATGAGCTATGAGTCATATAAGCTCTTTAAGTCTAATTCTCAAAACTTCATACAGTTTGTCATTCCGACATTTTTACAAAATATTATGAATTTTTTACTGAAGGATAGCATAACAGCAATCTGTTCCAGGAAAAACACCAGCGTGCCATGCAAAATTTGAGTTTGATGAGCAAATGAGTTTTTGAAAACCCTCTTGGCGCGGGGTGTCATGGGATGTATGGCACAACGTGCCAGGTTAACAATGTGCAACACTAAAATGCGTATCTTATAAGGCACTTCGAGGAGAGAGAAACTCACTTATTTGTATTGCATTTTGGAGAAGGTTTTGAGAGCAAGAACGACTTAGGGCTTCATTATCCGCCCAAAGTAATATTCCTACTATGGATTCAAATTAGAAACTCTAGATTAACATTGTTTAACACCTAATAATTTTAAAATCCTAGGTTTTTAGCATTAATTTAAAGAACCTTTCAAGAACACAAGACACATGGTTTTGAGAACAACGTTCAAGGTAACTTCTTTGCTTCTTACAATCAAAGTTAAAAAATTTAAAGCATATTACGATGTTTGGACCATAATAAGGATGAAGTTCACGTGTGGGGTCAATGTGGAGCCATTTATGGCCAAGAAAACCCCAAATTTAGGGAGATAGATTGAAATTGTTGTTGGGTTAATGATTTTAACCATTTATTATATATTTTAGAAAAAGTGAATACACGAGTACATTGATAGAGGTTCTTGGCAGTTGATTCGGGTAAGTTGAATTTATAATTCCCTAAGTTCAGGACTTGACAAGAAAGTAACTGTAAAGTAAATGCTAAATAAGAAAGTTGTTTTATAACGTAGTGCATGATTGTTCTTACGTGTAAATATTGTGAATGTTTGTTTGAAAACCCTTGATTGATTAAATGTTATGAACTTATCACTAGTTCATAGTACAGATTATCTTACAAAAATTCAATTGCCTTGCATAATATCTCAGCTAGCTCAGAATATCATAAGCAATTGAATCTCTTGTTTGATTTGATTTTGTTATGTTATTGCTTGCATTCATTCAGATTCAACCCAGATTTGATATATAAGATCATATATGGTATGGGAGAAGTAGCCAACCTCCCCGGGTGTGAGTGTCGTGATTAGCAACTCTAGCTACCCTACAATCATAGGTGCTCCATATTCAGATTCAGATTTAGAAAAAAAATATGGTTAACCTTCCCAGGTGTAAAAGCCGACGGGCCAGGGAATGGGCAGACATCCTCACACTTGCAAGCGCCATTGGTTGTTGAAATTTGTATGTTTGGGAGTGTCACGAACCAAACCCTTTAAGTCGTGATGGACCTGACCCAACCCTCTAGGTAAGCCAAATAATAAAAGATGTAAATCTAATGAAAAATCATCAATAATAATAAAATAATAATACGAAAATCAATACAACTATCACAAGGACTGGTAATACAAGTCATGAACGATTAAGAATAAGAATACAAGTCTGGTTTGAAGAAAGATACATCATCTGTTTGAAATTTATGTAAACAAAAATATAAGTCCTAAACTACCATGAACAAGTAGTAGTTTATATCTTGAACGCTGGTACGTCTTTAATGCTAGGCTTCATCCTCCACAGCAACTCAGTTCAAAAATCTGCACGCAAGGTGCAGAAGTGTAGTATGAGTACAACCAACCCCATGTACTCAGTAAGTATCTTGACTAACCACAGTGAAGCACTGACAAGATTTTTAAGTCAAAAGATACTCATTCATATAACCCGTGCGGCGTAATAGAATATATAGGGCAGAAAAGTACCCAGAAAAGCAGTCATAGAACAGTGGATATCGCAAATAAAGGTGCACAGTTGAAGAAGAGATAATAAACATGCTTTTCCAATTATACAGGTCAAAGAAAATACAGCTTGTACCAGCTCCGCGCACAAAAGAGACATGCACCAAGTAACATATACTCAAATACTCCTACATGGATGTCACGACCCCAAAACCCTAACCAATCGTCATAGCGCCTAACGCACTTGTTAGGCAAGCTGGGAATAACAATAATGAACCATAACAACAGAAATGACAGAAATAACATAAGTCTTAATCCTTAATATAGCATAACAGTACCAATACATGATAAATCCCCCAGAACTGGTAACTACAGAGTCATGAGCTCTAATACGAAAATACAAGTATGGCCAAATACAATAGTCTGAAATAAATACAGTACATAAGAAAAGAGATGCCATGACAGAGGTCGAGAATGTTGTTCTACTTAGTCTCTTGATGATCAGCTCAACAAGCAACTCCGCTACTGATGACTAGGTCCGACACCTGGATCTGCACAATTAAGTGCAGAGTGTAGCATGAGTACAACCGACCCAATGTACTCATCAAATCTCATAACTAACCTCGGCAAGGTAAAAGAAGCAATAATTATAAATGATACTTGCTATAACCTGTATAGTTTCATAATTTCAACAAGTACTAAACACTAATGTGATCAAGTCATAAAGCACAGAAAGAATCATCTGTGTGTGCACAATTACTCAAGTACTCTGCTCAGTTAATGATCCAGCATATAAAAATGATATGCAAATAAATCAGGTAAATAACCACGAAAATTGCAAGTAAAGATGAATAAAAAAATCCTGAACAAACACTGGCTAGAGTTTCCTCAATATTTCCATATCCATACCAAACCACCGATCAATTTTCCTCAAATCAGCATGTACACCATTTAGAAGGCACATGAGAGGGTGACCCTAGGGGATGGATCCATATCCACATGCAACACGACCAATTTAATGTGCTATCAACCCGGCGTGGTCACATGCTATATATCATAATCCGCCTAGCGTGGTCACATGCTATATATCATAATCCGCCTAGCGTGGTCATAGACACAACAACAAAATCCGCCCGGCATGGTCACATGCATAAAAACAGAATCCGCCTAGTGTGGTCACATGCATAACAACACAATCCATCCGGCATGGTCACAGGCATAACAACACAATCCGCCCGGCGTGGTCAGATGCATCTGGTCCAAATCATATCACACAGAAGAAAATATACAAGAATATATGTATATGATAAATGAATATCAAATTTCATGCTCCCGGACTGGTATAAATGACATGCTAAAGTGTAGGCATGTGCAAATTGTGCTATCATAGCTCAAATCGGTAATTTCATCACGAAAATAGCAATTAACAAGTTCATTCAGGGAATTAGCCTCTATGTAACCTCAAATACGGATCAAACAGTTCACAACAAGGTTACAAATATGAGAAACATCATAGCTTAAAGCTCAACAATCAATTCAAGGTATGTCATAGCCTAAGCACTACCTCGAGCATGAATAAATACCTCGGTGCTCGCACATGGGCTCAAATTCCACACATATGTGCACCCATAACACATATCTATAACAAATAACTCAGGCAACTAGTGCCTCAACCAAGTTTAGGTAAGATACTTACCTCAAGCAAGCCAAATCACTCCTCTAATAAGCCATTTCCGCGTGAATCAACCTCCAGACAATCCGAATCTAGCCAAATTAACTTAATATAATCAATAGAAGTAATAGGAATTGATCAGTGGCCCAGAGAAATCCTCGGAGTTGCTGAAGATAAGTTGGGCGCACACACACAAGCAAAGGACAACAGCCTGGGTGAGTGTCAGCGAAGGGCGGTGGGAAGCTGGACGTGAGTGTGCAACAACATCGAGTACATCAAACCGATCACAGGTTCTGTTCTCG